TGAGAGTTTTGTTTGGAAGATAATTGTTGATTAAATTAACCATTTATTAGCAGCCATCAATCTTATCAAACAAAGTTCTACATAAAAAATTTTTAATTTGTATTTTAAAATAATTAAATCGCATAAATTTTTTAGATGAAGTAAAAAAATCTTAAATAAAAATTATTTTAATTTAAAAACATATTCTTCTTCTAAACAAAAAAATTAGTATATTACACTATGTGCAAATTTATTTGATATTATTCATGAAATCTTAAATAGCTAATGATATTCTTTACTATTTCTAAGTACAATCTACTCCAACTAAAATAATAATTTGAAAATAAAATAAAAATAAAATATTTTAACAGATAAATTAAAGTTACTTTATTAATAAATTAGATTATACAATTATTAATTTGTCTTAATCATTGTTTAAATATTTTTTTGTTTAAAGAGGTTATTATATTTCTATTTCTTTATATAATAGCTTTTGGGTAGACTAATCTTGTTTTTACTTTCTTTCCCTATTTTTATGTTACATGATAATAAATAATTTTTAATTCTACAAAATTGCTTACTATCCTACTAAGTGTGATTTATGATTTTCTATTATATTTTAACTTATTTTAATAATAAACAAACATGAGAAATATAGATATAATAAAAATAATATTTTTAAAATATTAAAAATTTAAAAGAAAAATTTATTTTAAATAAACTAATAAAATTTCATCTTTAATTTATAAACTATTCATCATTTAGTTTATCAAAAAAAAAAAAAATTAGATTAATAATACCTAAAATCTAGCTTTAATTTAGGATTATTAGGATGTTTTTTTATTTCATATTCTATTTTCTAATGCTCTTCCTCATAATAGACATTAGTTTTACTATTTAGATAAAATAAGAGAAAATATATTATTTGTAATTAAATAAGAATTAAAAACATTTTAACATATTTAAAAATAGTATGATAAATACTGGAGAAAAATATAAAAAAGAATAAAGAAATTACATGAAATAAATATCTATTATTTTTAAATTCTGACAATTTTACAAAGCAATTGAAATCTGTTCAGCTAATTTTTCCTTGATTAAATTACCTCTAAAAAATAAAATAAATAAATATTTAATTTGCTTTATAAATAGAAATATTCTAAATTTAAATATAATATAGTAAATATATAGATTAATTTTTAAATTTTTGATTTGGGGAGCTGTACATTTGATATATAATAGTTATTGAAGATAAATAACTTTTAATATTTTTAATTAATAATAAAGATTTAATTAAAATGAAAAGCTCAAAATTTAATGAAAGTGTTTTGAAATAGAAAAATTTTTGATCTGATTATAAGGTATAAATCGTAAAAAATAATTATAAAATTAATTTGTTTAGAAATTTTTTTTTAATATGCATTTCTCTAAATGAAAAAAATAAGTAACTTAATTTAAATTACCTAAAAATAATACTAAGTTTTGTTAAATTTTTTTGACATTGCAATAAGACATTTAAAATACTCTAAACTTCTATTACATCTGTTTCTTATTAACTAGAAAATTAATTAAAACCATTAAATAATAAAAGGTATTTTAGTAATAAATAAATAAATTTATTTTATAAAGTTTAATCTGAAAATAGAAATAATATCACCTTAAATTAAATTTTAACTCAGTAATATTTTGACAATTTTAGAAGTTTCTTCTAAAGATCTTAGGTCTTTTTACATCTGCATACTCAATTCTAACCAAATTAAATTTAAAATCATTAAAAAAATGGCTTTTGTAGTATCTTTAAAAAGTAAATTTAACTTTAAAATTTTTAATTTATTTGCTTATTTTAAATTAAAAAAAAAGAGAAAATAAAATTACTCTGTTAAAATATTTAGATGTGTATTTTTCAAGTCAATTTTAATTCCAATTGCTCCTTATTAACATATTTGTTTAAAGTTTTGTAATCTAATTTGAAAAATAAAAAATATTTTATTTATTTGAATTAAATTAATTATTCATAGCATTTTTTAATATATATATCAATAAAAAATCATATTTTATAAAAGTAATTACGTTTAACTTAAATCTTTTTAGTTAATTTCTTGATTTATTTCCACTCTTTTAGAAGAAGGAGTAGTATATTTTTTATATTCCCTAACATTATTATTCAAATTTTTTTTTGTATAACTTCAAAAATAAATTTAATTTAAATATCAAAATAATATTCTAGTACTCAAATCTGATATTTAATAATTAAATATGCTAGCATTAATAGCAATTTATTGCAATACTCAAAACTTCTTCAACACAAATATCGTTTTTCCTAAATAAATTATTTAATAAAAGACATAATCAAAATTTTAAAAACCTAGAAAAAATTAAAAATATTATTAATTACGAGAAATCAATATCTATTTGAATGATATTTTAACATTATTATAGTACACTGGTAATTTATTAAGCCCCTTTTACTTCAATTTAATTAGTACTAACGCAATAGATTTAAAATAAATTAATTTGATATATTAATATAAAATTATAAAAAATTAATTAAGATTAAAATACCTTAAATTAAGATTCAGTTCTTAAATATTTTTGCATTATTACAAAGATTTTGCAATAATTAAAGTTTCTTATAAACTCAATTTTTCTTACCTAAAGACATTAATTAACAAATTTTTTTAAAGTTCTAAATTTATATATATTTATTTTTAAAAATAAAATAAATTATATATTACAACTTTGATAAATTAAGTTTTAAGTGAGAAAGATTTTTTAAGCTTTCCAAGCATTCTATAATTATTTAAAAATCTTATTTTTTTATATCACATTTACTAAGATATTTTAATAAAATAAAATTAATTTCTTTATTAAAAAAAATATAAAAATAAATTATATGAAAATTACCTTAATTCTAAACTTAAATAACTTATATTTTCGCACTTTATCAAAGAATTTGCAACACTCTAAGCTTTTTCTTTATCCAGTTATTTATTGCTAAAGATTAAATTTGTTATA